AAGAAAGGTGAAGGAATGCCTAATTATTTGAGAATAATAATATAGTTGGTATACTGTATATTACGTTTGATGTAGAATTCCCTAAGGGTGAACTTACAGATGAACAAAAAAAACGTAAGTATGGAATTGACGATTTTTGTAACTAATTACTGAAATTGTCACTTTGAATTGGTAAGATCATAGTTGTGAGTTACGAATGAAAAATGTTCATTCAGTCAAAATAATTACTGTAAAATGACTAATCTTCACTGGGTTTAAATTTTGCTGTTTTACCATTTCATTTCACGGTTTTATCATTTAGATAGTGTGTTCTATACAAAATTTTACATATTTACTAGGTTTTAATGTAGCGCATTTTCCAGTCAGCGAAATAAGCAAAATTAATACCCAGTGAATAATTAATCCTTTTACAGTATACAGAATTGTTGTTTCAGAAAAAGTATGTGATTGTATTTGCTCTATTAGAAGCGTATCTCTAAAAGAATTGAAAATAAACTAAAAAAAACTTCGGAAATATCTTTTCTAATGTGTATTTTTTCTTTCCAATTCTTTCAGATGCTGTGGAACTTTTACAAATGTCATCGGATCAGAAAGTGTACAATGGACTACAAGGATATTGATATTGCAATGTATTTTACAACTGTTTTATAGATTCCTATGTTATACATCCAAACTTGTTTTCACTGCTTATCCCTAATTAACTATCTGAGAGACAAAAAAGTTTTAAAAGTCTGAGAAAATCACAGAAATTGAGCAGGATGTCAAATTACTTTTCTGAAATTTTGTAGTTATGATACCATCTAGTGGCACAAGTAAACACCAAGCCAACAAAAAAAAGTGTTGTTTCTTCTCCCATATGGTTTTTTAAGAGAATTTACTTCCTAAAAGCAAGATCTATGTTCAATGTTGATCGTTTATTATATACATGTTTTTGAATTCATGCGTTATCTATCATATTTGATTTGGATATAAAGCATTCTTTGAAACAAACACATGACCTCAGAATATGCAGAATATTTCCTCATTCTACCATATGTGGTGCACGTAATTGCAAAAAAAATCAATTATGCCAGCCAAGGAGGAGAGGTAAAACATTTTTTTGTTCTTATATAGTGTTTCTTTATTTCAAAAAAGTTTCAAAGACTTTCAAGCCCTGTTATAAAAATGTCAGTACTGTAAATTCTGTATTAGAAACCGCGGCTTCTATTAAAATGGTACAATGCAATAGAGGGGATGCGACTTCTATTAGAGCATCTACACATATGAGAAATGATGAATTTTTGGTTCTCAATTTTTCAAAAAGAATGGGTGCGACTTCTATTAGGGATGTGGCTTCTAATACAGATTTTACGGTAATATGTTCACAGCTCTAAATTTTTGTGTTTTTCCATGATTCGTAAAAATTTGTCACTCGCAGAATTGCGATTTACATAGTGTAACCCACAATATGCTGTGTGGATCTGATACATGCGGATGGCAATGTGTTAGGGTGGTTCTAATTTCAATACATGCCTTTATTTTCATCACAAATTGAAAATGTGGTTTAGATATATGGTAGGCCTAGAATTTTCCAAGATCTGCAACTGATTCGCTGATTGAAAATTGTACCACAAATTTGTCTAGATTGACAATACATTGAGGACAAATTGAATTAAAAAAACTTTAATTTTGATGAGAACAATTTTCTTTTTAGTACAACACAATTTAGGTTTGCTCCTTGGAACTAGCTGACAATCTATGAAATGAATCTGCATAATTTTTTCTATTTTTTGTCCAAACTTTTGATAAACATCGATTTGGTCCAAAGTTGTGAAGAAATTATAGAAAAATGTTAAATCAAAATTTTAGCGGGCAAAATGTTGTTTATAAATATGGTCACATATGTTGATACCGATATTACTGGTATATATAATTTGTTGACAATATCCTCAAATTCGTGTCTTTAATAATAAATACAATATTATTTAATAACTTTCTGAAAAACTGTCTGCAATTTAGTCATCTACAAGTGTACTTTTCATATTTTTTTTAAATTTTACTATTCACTTTGTTAGTGTGCCTAATATTAAAGGCCGGTAGTTGTCGCGTCGCGTCGCGTCCTGTTCAATTTAAGACCCAACGCGACTTGCATAACATGTGTAAAATGCATTAGTTTACATCAAATATAAATACACTGCACGACAACCACCACACTTTAACAATTTTTTTCCTCTATTTTAGTATTTCGGAAAATAATAGCAATGCTTTTTAATAATTTTAATGACATAATTTATTTCAATTTTCACAGGAATCAGGTACTTTTATGTTAAGTGTCTAACACTAGGCATTTTCTTTCTAGCTTATTTATTTAGAGCTTGTATGTGTACCTTGTAGATAGACTGTGTCAACGATTCCACACAAAATGTTACTGATCAAAGAACTTGTATACAAATACATTGTATAATAAAATGTTATTATCAAAAATTTGCAAGGTCTGGTGTATTTTGAGTTGAAGTTTTCATTTGGTGAATAGCGTTGTTAAATTGTTCCATTGTTTTCAGATCCTGTATTGATTTGATAGATGCCTGAAATTCAGTG